GTTAACCCCAGAATATGTTGCCAACAGTACCAGACTCACTCGCGCACACGTAAGCGAAAGTCCAACATAATAAGACACGTGGACGGTCTAAAACGAACAGATCAAGGGCGTGGGAGTAGCTCAACAGCGCGGGACAAGAACGTTCGAAATCCAGCGCGATGTTCGCAAATCGATTGTACAATAATTACCAATCGATATTCGTAGATGTGTATGTAAAAATGCGTAAACTCGTATTGTGTTGCAAGATAATAAGAGGGAGTTGAGTAAAGTGTTGTTCCTTGTATTAATTCTTGCATTAACCTTTAATATTACATAAGAGAAGCATTTATAGTAGTACATGTGAAATAGTGGCCATTGGATGAGGAAGCACTTGGCCTCATCTCCTTAATCCAAACGTCTAATCATAGGCATCATTCTTTACTTGCTAGCCTGTTGCACATATATTGCTTATGCAGAACTCCCACTCTATTGAGAAGACTTAATATTTACACTCATGACAAACGTCTCAACAATCATTCAAACACGATCTTTATGTAGAAGAAGATCTCTTGAGAAAAGTGAATATAGAAGATGCTCCTTTATGGTTTGGAGGCTTCTGCTTCAGCTTCAAGGCTTTGGCCATTCACATAATACTTCCACTTCAAGGCTTCGGCTCCATTTTCATGGTGCTTCCGCATCATGGCCTCAACTACTTTTCACAGTGCTTCGGCATGAGAGCCTTGGCCACTTTCACAGGGCTTCGATATATGCGTCTCGACAACTTTCAAAGGGCTTCAGCATAAGGGCCTCAACCACTTTCATAGGGCTTCGACAACTTTCAAAGGGTTTTGGCATAAGGGCCTCGGCCACTTTCACAGGGCTTCAATATATGGGCCTCGACCATACATACCACATTGGCTGGAGTGCCACGTGGTTCAACATGAGTGGGCCATAGGCCCTAGTGGGTTGGCCAAGTGTGTTAACACGTAACAATAGTCCCCTAAGTCCAAGTATAGTCATTTATGTAATGCGTGAACTTTAATGAAGTAAAGTCAGTGATTGGGTAAAAATTGAAAGAATTTTTGAACCCCAAATAATAGTCCCTCAAGTCCAAGTATAGATATTTATATCATGATTGGAGTTTGAGATGTGCTATTGTGGATGAATGATGAAGAAGCCGAGGTTATTGAATAAACCGAATCTGTAAGGCTTGTGAAAGCTGAATTGTGATGAAACTGAGGTGGTTGAGAAATCGAACGTGCGATGCTTGTTATGGCTGAATTGTGATGAAGAAGTCGAGGTGGTTGAGAAATCGAACCTGCGAGGCTTGTTATGCCTGAATTGTAATGAAGAAGTCGATGTGGCTGAGAAATCAAACCTGCGATGCTTGTGATGGCTGAATTGTGCTGAAGAAGCCGAGGTGGTTGAGAAACTGAACTTGTGAGGCTTGTGATGGCTGGATTATAAGGCTCAAGTTGTTGAGGCACCTCCACGATTGATTGGGCTTAGTGTAGTTCACTTTTTAGTTTATATCAATGTATTGGCCTCAGGCCCACCTTTTGTAATCTTGATTGAAGATCAATGTAATCTACCTTCATCATATGTTGTTTTTCTTTCGAGTGCATTGGCCTCATTAAGTAGTTGAACTTAAGAATGACCCAATAATAACTAACTCAAGTAGTAACTTGAACTTAACATCCTAACTCCAATCACTTGAAATTATAACTCAAGCCACATGAACAATGGCTCAACTCAGATTGAACTTAAGCAAGTTGTGACGTCCAAGTGAGTTGAAGTACGTAAGTTTGATAACTTTGTAACTTGAATGGATGCTTAAATTGAACAACCTTTCAATTGAATTGGATTACTTCGTCATTCTAATGGCTTTGGAAGGTCAGGTTGAAAAGGTAGAGCTGCATGGAGCTCGTAGCGATTGAGCTTCGTGAATCAATGGGTAAAGGAGTTCGATCAAAGTGGAGGCTTCTTCCTTTGGTGACCAGCCTCGTCAAAAGAAGGCATGTGGCGTACGTCTTGGAGTTCAAGTGAGGTGACCCAGAGTTGGGATAAGGACCTCTCCTCGGAGGCGCCGACGCTTCCCAACATGATGGATGGTTCAGCCAGGTTGAGGCTTC